AATGATGGTGTCCTTATCCGGCCGTAATTTACGGCCAATTTACAAATTGTTGAATTACGTACTTTTCCGTTCGGAAAATGTCGAATTACTTTAAGAGACATATTATAACGACTTTTAGTGAATTTTTTTTGCAGTTTAAAGGATTATACATGGACATGATGAGGTGGGATAGTTGGTTTTGCTGATTATTTGATTTACTTTGTTGCTTACTTTTGCTAATGCTGTCAAAGCTCCTGTACATGTATTTCATTAAAGTAAATCTACAGAAATACTTAGAAACTATATACGCATAGTATTTACTTATTTTATAGCACATACTTGATATTTACAGGTAGATGCAATATCCATTTTTTCTTCTTGAAAAATATTGACTGATGTAATTGTGTACGATTAAACTGATTATTTCATCATTTTAAACATGTTAAGTAGTTATTTATTACATTCACAGTGGTAACAATGTCTACATCTTTAGAATTCTTTTGTTCTTTTTCAGATAATATCTACTTTCGGGAATTTCATGGATTTGGGCGATAAAGCAAAAGATATCTGCCGTGTTTTTGATTATGTATTACATGTTTATTCATTAATAAATGTATTCCTCGTTATTCATTTGTGTATTCTACTTGATAAAGCTGATTTCCAGCATTTGCGTAATTTGTGAGGTACGGAGTATATGACGTGATCTTAAAAATGCTAGGTAAAATTAGATATTTAGAGAGGCTTATTAATATAAAAACTATGTCGTGCCGTAATGAAGTTACTGCGTCCACTTGTAAAAGAAAACATTGAGGTTATAAGCGCTTAGTTATATATCGTCTTAGTAGGAACCTATTAATTGACTTCGGATTCATAGTCAAACAAGGTTAAAAGTAAATCTACCTGAGATAGTGAGCTTGCGATTTCTACTTATCGTAATAAACCAAGATGGGAATAATGTACCTATGCTGTTATATTTATAACTCAGTGCAACTACGGTTATCGTAATAATTAAAAACAGAATGCCTACTATTGAAATACAATTATACTTCATTAGAATACCTACGGTTTGCAGCTACAGAACACGGTACGTTGCTATCTGTTCATGTAATCGCGTAAACAACAGTTTCCCAGACGCTGCATTTACTCCTAAAAGTTTGCCCTTAATTCCTAACTTAGCACGTGTTACTAACGTCACTGGAACACAATCGCGTTACAACAGAAGGAACACAGATTCATTAAAAAAGTGTTTATTAAGCAAAAATTAGATTTTAGATGTACAGATAATTCACATGAGTAGTCCTCCGTCACTGTCAGTAGGTTTCATCTGCGTACCAGCACATATATGTTTCTCCATGAGCCTGAAAAGGTTTAAGAAAAGCATTATTAACTCAGGTGGTACAAGTATGATCTGAGTAAAAAATGTTTCTTCATAAGCATTTACAAGTAATCCCTTCACAAACAATATATATAAGTAGCTAAATAGTTTTCACTAAACTCAAGGGACTTCACAATTTATCGTCGGTCGATATCTAGTAGGTCCATCGAAGCATCATGAAATGGAAAATTATTTAACGACAAGTTATGCAATAGTTTCCAAAGCTTGAACAAAGATTTTAACAAAAGTGACAACAGCTTTATGACAAATAATACGAGTTCTGACAGCATTAATAATAATAACGTTCATGTTCATAGTGACTATAAAAGCAATAACAGGTATTATTATCGCAACGAATTCATCATTAACTTAGATAGACAACTACTTATTATACAATCATTTCAATTAAATGCATCACTTAATCTTATGAAGCAGGTGTTTACTTACTCTCACTGCATTCTCGCAATACTGATGTGGTCAACTAGCTTATTCCAAATGAACTCAAGATTAATCCTGAAAGGGAATGGACACCCAGTTTATTTCAACTAAAAACATGTAGCCTACATGCATTACACTGCTTACTGAGACATTTGATACCTGCTTTCCGATCTTCGTGACAGGAAAACAGTTAATGTAGGTTTACCTACATATACTGTTTTGATCTTGATATGGGATGAATTCATTGAATTCAGCAAATAAATCCTCTGGTTTATCAAATCTATCATGAGCTGTAATAGTATGTGCTGTCAATTATGCACCCGACTTGATAAAACGCTCCTGGCAATTGCGAACTTAACCAAGCAGTTAAACGATGTTTGAAATTACCGCAGGTCGAATGACAAACTGGCCAATCACAAGCGAGCAAATCACTTGTTTATCTCACTCGCGGGCACTCAAAATTACGGCCGTCGACAGGCTGCCCGCAGTTTGGCACAATGTAAGTATTTCGTGTAGATTCTTTATCTTCTTGATGGTTTAACCACCATAATTTATTAGCAGTATTATTCAGATAATTATCCCTGACTACTGCTCTACAATGAATGAGTTTGGTGTTGCAGCGAATTGGATATATAGCGGTAGATGTCATTCCAGCTCAGTAGTAACCAAACATACCATGGTTTCGGCCTACTTTATCCGAGAAACAGACTTACCAAAATATACTTTCATCTTTTTGAAAATTTATGGGTCATAAAATCGCGAATTTTGACATAGTGGATCTATTGTTAAACGCTTTCAAGGTAAAATTATCTCTGCAGACTACATATATTGCAAGGACTAACACAGATTACAAGAATATAGTATCCTTATTTCTTGAGTCTAAATATGTACCGGTAACCATACAAAAAGTTACCAGTGATGGCTGCGAGAGATGTTTGTGAGATCATTAACTGTTCTTTTCCAGTTTTCATTGTTTCTTTTAAGCAATCTCCTACACTATGAAACCAGTTTTGTATGCAAGTAGTGGTCTTGCCAGAGTAACTTGCTCACAAATAAAGTAGCTGTAGATGTCGAAAATCAATTCCTAAATAATATTTTGTATGGACATGTTAGGAAGGACTGGTGAACTTTTCCAGAACGACCTGTATAGATTATAAAGGTAGCCAATAATTTCTAGTATAGGAGGATAAGGAGGTACTTATTGTCCAGGGCATTATCGTGCAAATTTTCAAGGTGTCAAGTATTAGCTCTTGGCAGCGGGTTTGTAAAACCTATGTTTTTCGACCCGGTTACCAAATGACCGCTTAAACTCCTTGTATTTCCTGGCAGCATTTAAATTCACTGTTAGTACTGCGTTTGTCGTAGTAACTGCTTTTAATACCCACTGCCTGGTCGGATATATGTTCCAAGATACATGAAAAGACTAATAGCACACTAGAAGTTTAGCCATAGCTTCAATTTACATGGAATCCGCAAATACCAGTATCACTTTAAGTTACTAAACTTCTTAGAGGCTCAGAAGAACAAGTGTGGAGAAACTGTAATAGATGTTGATATGTGAGAGGGAGAGTAATTACATGGATTATCAGAATTTAATGAATCTGGGAAATCTCAGTGAATTCATCTGCACTATTGTAAGCATCTTCGAGTCTCGTCATCAACATTTTCTAATTATTTGTTCTTGGTATATTGATGGCTTCAGTCAGGCCGTTTAATAGCCTTCATACTTCGTCCATACTAGCGGTCGCAGATCCCATAGATTAGTTACTTGTCTTGGTCTGACCACTTCTAATTATTTTCCATAATTTTTTCTTTATAACAACTCGCCAAGGGAGACAATGGCAGGAAATGCGTAAACATTTCCGAACCATCTGAAGTGATGCTGTTTCACAACCTCATCAACTGATTTTCCTTATAAAATACTACGTCTAACTTCATTACAGCTATTTGGCTTCTCATTATTAAATCAGCTTAATTGTCTTCATGGGAAGAATGATAGTTGTGTTTAGTGTCTGTTTGTGCATCAAAACTACTTCATTGTTGGGGTCAGAGAGGTCATGCGACTGAGTAGCATATCATTTCATTGGATATAACGGCGACGCGAAATCAATGGAAAACATACCGCTGTTTATTCTCTTTCAATCCCAGGAAGTTACTAACGTTCTTGTAAACCTACTCGATGAGTGTGCTGACCTGTTTCATTTCTTGCTTAACTGTTTCCTTTTTTTATATCTAATTGTCTCTGGGTTATTTTGTATGGCGCGTCTCTTGGTGCTCATATTGTAAAAAATTGTTTGAAATGGAATGAAGTACGTAATAGGATTACTGTTTCTCACCCTTGTAAAGAGGATAGTTGCTCACTCTGCGTACTACTTTTTGTCGTTGATAGTGATTCACAATCTCATCGGTTGATTTGATTATCTTAATCAAAGTCAAATGCAATATAAACAGTAATTATTGCAGTACTACCACAAAAGTCATTTTTTCAGAAGCCTGAGTGTACAATATGCGGCTTGGTTGATTTTCAGCGATATTCTTTTTAAATTTTTTTAGCCCGACAGTTGTATATGGTAGGGTAGCTTTAAGCGAATTCATTGTGTAGATGCTTTAACATCTATTGATGTTTTCAGAATTTAGCTGACTGACTAATAAACATGTGCATGTGTGCAACCGGGACATCGCGTGATTTACACAAATATAAAGCAAAACATTACCTTAAAAAACGGATCTCACATCTCTTGACGTGTGCCAAACTTATTTCTATGGAATAAAGATAAAAACATTTCTTTGGTCCAATGATGGTGCCTTACACTTAAGCATCATCAAAGATAGTTTGTAGGAATCTTGTACTCTGAAAGAATTCAGTACTTATTTGAACTTCCAGACTGTGTTATGAAAACTAGGACTTGCCAGTGTGTCAATAATACAAATGCGCCTAGGTGCTAGACTTCCACTTATTCAGCTCTTAAGTCTTACAGATTTAAGTATATACTTATCACTACATAACCGTTGTGTGGACTCACCTTTGGTTCTTAAGTTTCGACACCGGACTTAAGTTGTCTTACTACCCACATTGAGAATAAATTCCATTTAGAGGGTACCATGACTTCTTTTTGTTCTTTGAGACACATTGAGGCTTTTAGGAAAGCTCCTATAAGAGCCTACTTTATACCTAACTGATGTTTCCTATTTGCATATACGTTCACAGATGCCAAAGCGCAACAATCCAGAATCGCCTGCTGATTCTGTAACTGGATTGTCAGGAGATGAATCTCAGTCTAGTAGTTTAACTACCCGTAAACGACGTCGTCTAGCCAATGCTTCTCAGGTAAGAATGAATTACTAAATGTGAAACAATTTCATGTGCCAGTTATCATCAATCATTAGTTTACTCAAATTACCCAGTTAACACACTTCTTGAGTAGTTAGCTGAATGATTTATCCCGTGTGTATACTAGGGTGTGGTTAATGATCGGTCGGTCGGTCGGTTTTCGACATAGAACTTTGCACATATGTGCGGCAGTTCAAGTCGCCACACTCCATGTAGCATACAAAGCAAGAGAAGAAAGTAGGAGAAATGCATAATATAGACAGTAAACAGAGGTGTGTGTGGTTAATGATAATATTCAGTTGTCTGCGCCGTAGCAAACAAAGTAAATATAAATGAAATCCTCAGCTGTTTAGGATTGTGCGTGATGACGGGGAAATTTTAGTGGATTTGACTGACGTTTTGTTGTGAATTTGTGCTTGGAAATTTCTGCCTGATATAACTTTTAATTATCTGATCTTCTGAAGTACAGCACTCTTTGATGGTTTTTATATTAACTGAAGTATCATGAACTAACATACTTTAGAAATTGCATCTAAGATCTAAAAAATCAGTCACATTTCATGTCAACTCTCACAAGGATTTATAATACTGCTACTTTACAAATTTTCTTAAGCTAAAAGATCGGTACTATTTTCGCAGATGATAATTTACTGGTCTAGAAAGTTGACGTTTAACCAGTAGGAAGTCAGTTTCAGACCCACTTTAGTTTGTGTCTAAATAGTCAGGTAGTATTGCTAGCTAGTCTCACTTATTGCGCTTTCCAATACTCTTCTCTTCCTTTGCGTCCTATATTCTGACAAATACACTATGTATATATTTCGATTCAGTAAGAGTAGTAAACTCTATGAGTGGTGAAATCTAACGGACATCTAGGTCTTACTATTCCTGAATTTTCTAACTACTGACCAAGCACTTTCAGCTTTTTTAAAGATAAGCAGTAAGTTTGGTTGGATCACAAAACCTACCCCTAGTTACATCCGAATCTCCTCACTTTTTTAGTTTTATTTTAAAATCTTATGTAGTTAGCGTGAAAGTGTATATTGTGGTTTTTTTTACTTAACTAGCTGGACTTATGCCAAGAACTGTTTGATAAAATTCGGGCATATCGTGGAGAAGATGGTTCACTATCTGAAGCATTTATGCGTTTACCAACAAGAAGGTAAGTTCTTTTGCATGTTAAAGTTAATCATGTATATGATATAAAGTTTTCTAGTGATAGGGACTAGGCTCAAAGTTTTTTCTATTGATTAAATCCATTTTCACTGTGTGGTGAACCCGTTAAATGACAGTTTTATCTGGGAGCTGTGGTAGTCCGAATTGTAGCAATGTTCAATTGACATGAGTTCTTAGTTATTTCAAATGAATTGAAGTAAAAACTTTTCCTGACTAATGAAAATTGTTTATCTTACTTCTATCTGTTTACAGGTCACATGCAGACTACTATGAAGCAGTTAGAGAGCCAATGGATTTAGCTCGTATTCAGGCGAAAATTAAAGCATCGGAATATGAAAGTGTAGATCAGATGGCCACAGATATTAATTTAATAGTAGCAAATACTAAGGCCTTCTATCCAGCCTCAACCACAGAGTTTGCCAAGGCTGTTGAGTTGCAAGATGTCTTTGATCGAGAGCGTCAACTGCTTCAGGCGATAACCACTAAAAGTACCGATTCAACTACAAGCTCAACAACCAGCAGTGGTAAATTTCAAGTTGACAGTTTTATTTTATGTTTATGCGTTGCACGTGGTCAGCCTTTCTTAAACACCAATTTAAATGTATGTATTGGATTTGTACTAGAATCTAAATCAAGTCTTTCGCTTTATTTGATTTATAATATTTTTTTCAGTTGTCGACAGACGTACGACGCGCAAGCGTACATTTGTTAGTGAAGAACGTGATGAAGAAGAAGTAAGTTCTTATCATTTTTGATTATTATTTTAAGACAATTATCCCTTATTTTAAACCATAAAGCTGCTGTACTTCTGCAGTTATCGTAATTTTGTTTTCGTAATCCATTACAATCCACAAACTAGCACTATTGATGAAGCATGCAAAGGTTGAACTGTTCACACTCCTCATTTTCGCGCAGTACAACCATATTAATTGTCTGCTCAATGTGGTTAATCAACTGAGTGATACGATATGACTTTGTACAATTGTATACTTTAATTTCTTATTAGGTGTTAGTACTCAAATGGTCAGAAATCCTGAATCTAGACTTAATGATCTGAATATGCTACTGTATTCTTAAATCAGATGGAACCGCCGGCACTTTGAATAACTGCTTAGACAATCTGCTAACAGTACAACTAGTCATTTGCAAAAGATACGGTCCAAAGTGAGATTTCATCTCAATTTCCTGTGGAAGTTTTAGGTTGACGAAGGTTATTCAAAATTCTTGATTTATTATCAGTCTAAAAGCATATACAATACCTTATTTTGCATTTGATTCGCAGAAAAAGAGAGGTTATCACTTAATACATAACTGCTGCTTTATGAATCAGTTGTTTTATCAGTTCTGGTCTAGATGAGTTATTGTGAGAAACCAGTAGGAATAAAAACAGGAAGTGAGTTAGGTGATTGGTGGACTAGAAAAAAATATTGTAATTGGCATTGGTATGAAATTATAAACAAGAAGGTTGTTGCAATCTTTCAATAATTGATCCATTGAGAATTTAACGACACCTATGTATTCTGGGTTTTGAATACTGAAGGGACTACTGTCATTTGCTCAAATTCGTGTTCTGTGATACGAGACTTGTACAAACTCAATAAAGCTGGAGTTTAAAATAAATTTAAACTTTATTGTGAGTAGTAGTAGTAGTAGTAGCATTTGGTGTGAATGGATATTTAAAAAAAAAAGCGCAGATGAATGCTTGTGAAACGTTAGTCATCATTCGCACTATAACCTAAATGAAACTACCCAGAATAATAAATTGCCGTATTGTGTATATCCATCGCATACTACCGGATAAAAATAGTTAGCTTAATTTGTCACTCACTGTTATACAGTAAATAGAATATCATCCCATAAAACTTTAAAATCTTTCACAATTACAAGGCAAAATGCGCTCAATCAAGAGAATTGAATGTTTCAGTCATAGGAGAGAGCATAACTGTCTACTGGAAACAAGGTGTATACTAATATCTGATGCTTGTTTTATAATGATTCAAAGGTGTGTACTCTTTTGAAAATCTACTTCCTAAAAAGCAATGCAATTACACGTAGATAAATGCCTACCTCTAATCACCATTCAGGAACTGTTATTTTGATCTGTATTTTCTTTTTGTCATAAATCCGTAAAGATAAATATTCTCTTCCTTAAACTTTTCAATGTTTCTGTTTACCAATTTGAAGACTGAGACCTTATCAATTGCGGCGTCAGATGACTCACGTATAGCAGCATCAGAGACGAGTACCACAAATTTAACTTCTTCTAGTCAGCCTAGTTCAACACAACTTGACAATCCCTTTGAACTATTTTTTGCTTCTATCGCAAAATATGTTAGCGAAAGTGGTCGACCATTAGCTCCAACCTTTACTCATCTACCATCAAGAGAGGTGAGTTGCTCATTTTTTTTCTCGGTTGGGTGAGTTCTTGGAAATTTTAATCAATTCTGCCATTCTGCAAGAAGTTTTGGGTGTGTAATTTGTTGATTTCATGCTGAAGGTTATATTTATGCTATTGAAATAAGTGTACCAGAGTTGAATGCAATTCAGAGATCATCTTGTTTTCTCCTGATCTTCATGTCGTTTCTATATTTGATATGAATTACTGTAAATAGTGTGCGTATATTCAACACGAAATAAATACAACTGACACATAGAAGATTGGTATGTTTCTGTGTCTAGCGACTATATCAGCCAGCAGACTTGGAATATTTTCCTAGTAATTTGGTGTGAGATGTATGGAAAACGATTTCTCATGTTAACTCCAACTGTGTATACAAATTTACGTGTATCTGCGGGAGCAGTTACATTGGGAGAACAGAAAGAAGGGCACACCTCCGATTTTCTGAACATGTGCCAAGAAGCCTACGTCTCAAGGGAACAAACTCTTATAGCAGCGCTATCACTAGACATCTTCTCGACACGGGTCATGAGGTAGAAATCGAGAAATCCTTTAAAATTATCAATAGACAAAGGAGTTCCATTCTCCTCAAGTTTGCCGAAGCAATCTCTATCAAACGCTTGAAACCAGATTTATGTGTTCAGAAAGAAGCAGTTATTAATCTCTCTTTGCCCTGGTAACTGAATGTCTTTATTCTCTCATCTGATTACGTAATATTTGTCTTTAACCTCACCCCCTTTTATATTCTGTAATTTTGCTTGTCTCTTGTTTCTATGATTTGAGTTGAACTCAGTACATTGTTACCTAATTTATTAGTCATTCTGTATCTAACTCATATTTCGTCTTTATTACGTAACTCCTTTACCATTGTATGCATACATCTATTTTGTTTAAACTTGAACTGCATGTGTAAAAACTATATAAGCGCAATTTTCTGAGCACTGTTCACTTACTGTGGAACTTTTTGTCAACTGGCAACATGTAAAAATTTGCAAGTATGTTAAAACTTTTCTGTACGCAAACCTCATTATGTATTTAGGCTGTAAGCAGCTGATGAGAAGCCTACGAAATAAATGATGGTACCATATTATTCTGCACAAACCACTTTCGTTCTTGCTTTATTCAAATTCATCAAGGGGAATAAATGCATAAAGAAAACGATTGTGTTTATAACATTACTTCCCGGTTTGTAGGACAGTTAGGTGAATTCTGCATAATATATTATTACTCGAAGTTTACGACCTATTAAGGCACGCTTGTTGCGATATGTCTTGGTGTTTACATAAGATATATATATATATTCCATATTCTGTTGGTTTGTCTTCATTCACAATGAATTTGGTTACGATAACGTGTATGGCAAACTCATATCTTTGTGGTTGGTTCGTAAATACATTAACCGCTTAAATCCAACTGGAGGTGTAGCACATTACCTTTGGTTCTGAACTGTCAGCCAATGTGTTAAAAATTCGAATTCCACTCTACCTACTTCAGTTTAAGCAACTAGATGGTATTAACTTACATGATAAGTGTAGATGACAGCCTGGTGCATAAAAAGTCTATTCCAGGTGATTAAGTTCTAAAACACAATAATTTAAATCGCCTCTATTCTAATTTCCGTTACGGGTTACTTTCTCAGCAAAATAATTTGATTTTCATTTCAGCTTTATCCGGTGTATTACGTTGTTATCAAAGAACCAATCGATTTGCGAATGATTGCCAGACGAATCGTGTCTGGCAAATACAACTCTATGGATGAATTAGAAAAAGATTTTACACTTTTAGCTCGAAATGCCAAGACTTTCAATGAACCTAAATCAGTTATCTATCAGGTTTGTTATTTGTATTAAGTTAAAAATCTCAGGTTTTGGTTGTATGCATTTGTTGATCATTACACTAAATAGTTAGTATTTAAAACAGACTATTGAAACCTCATGTACAGTGAATGGTTATGGTTTCTTGTTTAATGTTTAACTAATTTAACCGTTACCTTTATTCTTCTTTAGGATGCCGCAACACTGGCGAGAATACTGAAAGGCAAACGTAGTGAAGCTGAACATCCACCGGTTCGAACTAATAGGGAGAGAGGAAGGTGAGTATGATAGTGGCTTCCGCTGAGAACTTTTGTGTAATTTTGAAAGGTATTCACTTATCTTCTCAGTAGATCTCTTTGTTGTGTTTGTTATTGTTAGGTAGAGCCAAACCATTTGGTCTCTTTTAACACATGTAGCCTTTCATGCATATCCTGTGAATCAATAGTTCAGTGGGTAATGTTCTGTATTTTGAATGCTTGTTACCGAATTCGTATTTTTTCAAGAATGTCAACAATCACTGGGGTGTAGGTAAATCCGAATTGTAAATAAAGTGAACAGTGCCTTCTCGATTCTGCTGCTATTGATTGCCAAATATGTAGCTTCATCCATCTTTACTGATTTATTTCTATTTTGTTTCGTCATATTTCTCAGCATATTGAACTTTTTTTTGCATAAGCCATTTTGATAAGTGACTTTATATTCTTGAGATTAACTTAAAAAAGCACACTATTTCCTCATCCAGTTGAATCTTGGTCTATCAGCTTACTAATGTATTTGTATGTCATGTAGCTGAATGGGTAATCCCCATCGAGATATTATTATACTTCCATTCTCATAGTTATGCAAGTATATTTGCAGTTGAGTAAGAGTAAGTATCAGCAAACATTGTTGTATGTGGTCTGTAACTTTATTTGAGAGTTGACTTATGTTCTCATCTAGTCTTGTGTAGCTAATTATGTAAGAATTTCAATTATTATTAGTATTGCGTCGGTTGCACAGTGGGATTCGATCCCCGGCTGACGCACTCCTTTACCTCGCTAAGCTAGTAATAAGACTGGTAAAGAGGGAAGGTTGGGCATGAGGCTAGCAACTCCATCCCGTAAAAATAAACACCACTGCTACCCAAACTTCGAAGCTCTAACTTGAAGCCCTATGTTCCACTAGGAATGTAAAGGAATTAAAAAAAGGAATTATTATTCCCTTGGGTTCTGAGCGGAATATGGGGCTTCAACAGCACTTCTCCACTTTGTCCTATTTTCTGTGATCCTCTTAAGCTGTCCCCACGATTTCCCATAGTCTCTGATCTCCTCCATGTCACCCTCAGATGCCTCACTTGTCTTTTCCTATTCGGATTCCACTGAAGAGCCTGGCGCTCCGAAGTTTCAATGCGAAACACTTACACTGAGTTCAAGAGTACCTTTCTCACCCTAATTAAGAGAGGGGAAACATCGGACCTTAAGTTTATACAGCATCCGATTGACTATGACCAGCTAATTTGTAATTTGTCTTTCAGTATCATTTACAAAGCCACTTCAAGCCCACCGGTTAGCTCGTGTCTCTATTCTTCTTTGTTTCGTATATGCTCTCACAGTACACAGTATACAATCAGAATTTTGTGTTTAGTAGTAATTTTCACAATATCTATCTTGATAAGCCGATGACTAGCAAATGTTTGAGACTTTTTCAATTTTATTTTATTTCGCTCATAACACCGTATGATATTTGAATGCTAAATGACAATGATTCGTTTATGTTGTTTTCCATCGTACTACATTTAATCTGACTTCATATTAACATTTTTCATTTTCAAGTGTACCACATTTAATTCTTGTGGTTATATTTTTTTTATTCTAGTTTACTTTAATCTTTAATCTACAATATTTATCTAGTCGGATTATAATTCACTTATTGTCTTGAACAGCATTATTTCACCTGAATATTTTAACTCGGAATTATAGCAAACATGAGCAAAGTTGTTAATCGACCTTATAAGGTTGAATCAGAATCTTACGTTATTCATTCATTACAAACTGGTCATTCCTGTTTGATCTTCTTAATTGTTATCCATATTCATATGATTAGAGTTAATAATTTGTTTTTAAATAAAGTATGTTGTGTTAAAATGTGAGACGTGGTCACATATCAAAACTAACTGCAACCAGCTTCTTTGTTTTTAAAAATCCTCTTATGTGACCATGTGTTCATAGCTTGTTGTTCTTTAGGATCTCTTAGGGCAATCGGGTGAAAGAGTGTATATGAATGTTTGGCGCTTATCACTGGTCGAAGTAAGGGAATAGAGTTGAAGTTATACTGATTTTAAGTATATGGTGTGTATTATTTGGTCATAGCTGTCAGGCAAATCCTATGACTATGATCCAGCTGCTTGTAAACGCCTCAAAAGGCGAGACGTTTAGATTTTAATTGCTTTTTGTAACTACTTTTGGTTATTTATTGTCTGTATCAAGTGGTAGATCTTTCAATAACCCTACCTTTCTTTATCTCTGTATAGGCGTACATCTCGTTTGAATTATGTGCCTCATGAAGTAGTAGAAGAATTCGCCTCAATGCCTGACTTGTCTGATCCTCCGGAGAGTTCTAACCATATAGATGAATCCACAGAAGGAGCTTTTGAGCTTTCTGGAGATGATGAAGACACTCGAGCAACTGGTACTTCTCAGAGTTGTTCATCGATAGCTTCTGCTTCTGTTAAAAAGAAACGCGGACGACCACGTCTTTATCCACTACCTGAAGATACCATAAAAGGAAGTCCATCAAGAGAACCTCTTTCTCCAGCAAGTGTGGCTTCTCAACATGGTCCGTCGGCATTTGGTGATACGAGTAACTATCCACCTTCCTGTTCACGAGGTCATCGACGTTTACAGGAAAAGCTTTTACAAGTTGTATTGGATGCTACCAACTCAGAGGGTCAACTGATATCAACACCATTTTTCCGGCTTCCATCTAGAAGGTTTGTATTATATTTTCTTGCTTTATTTTTGTTGTATTCATTGTCTGTTGTGATTCTTTTTAATCCATTTAGGGATTTATCATTGTTTATTCATTTGTCTTTGTTTCACTTTTCAGGCTATACCCGGACTATTATGAAGAAATCACCAACCCTTTATGTTTATCTACAATAAAGAAAAAAATCAAGGTATTTTTTTCAACTTTATATTGCAAGTCTTATGACTTTAGAAGTTGTTTATTTCCATGATAATTTAGTTTGTTTATGATATTTGAAATCGAACTTGTTGAGAGCAGTGAGTGCAAATGGAAGGTGCCATTCCATTACACTTTTACTTGAGCTATCATAATTCAAATACATTGTAATACAACTTAGTATCATCATTCAGTTTCTTACACTAGATAAATGACATACACTGATTGGGGGGTGGTGATAATTAGGAATAACTATCCAACTGTCTAGACTTCATTAGGCCTGACTGGATTCGAACAGATGACTGTCTAAACACATTTCGACAATAATTTTGTAAAACCACTAGGCTTTTTGAGGTAATACATTGTCGACTTTTCTTTAGAAAGCTTCAGGTAATTTAAGATTAAGGGAGCATCCATTTTTAGTTGTGCCTGAGGGTTTTAGCAGTAGCTTCTTGGTTTCATCTAGCTGACGTCTTTCTGCATTCATCTTACATTTCTATCTGCATTTGTGAATAAGCAAATAACAAATTTTATATTCGATTATAATCCATTCAGCTCATCAATATAGATGAATATATATTCTTATACGAAATCTTATTATTGACAATTCACAATTTCTGTTAATAACATTTATATGAATTAATTCCTTTTCAAATATGTTTCTTTATTTAAAAAAAATATAGCGATATGAATATGCTTCGTTAGATGCTCTCCTCACGGATTTAGATGTTGTATTCAACAATGCTCAACAATATAATGTTGAACAGAGTGCAATACATCAAGATTCTATTCTCTTACAACAGTTAGCTCACAAAAAATGTGAAGAGCTAAGAAATTCAGAAATAGCAGTAAGTTGTACATTCTTAATCATCTGTCCACTTTTTTTTCTCACTAATACTTTATGAAAAGTGATACCTTCTCCTACTTTTATTTTATTTTATTCGTATATTGTTAATATGTGTATGAAAACAAAATTACTATGTTTGCATCAAACTGCAAAATTTAACATCTACTTACTGTAAATTCAGAAAAAGAATAGCTTGTTTAAATCACCGGTTCATATCACTAGACATGATATCTGACTGTCCATCAAAAGAAGTGTGTACTGCTCAGCACTTCTCTCTGTCCTCCTTTATGGCTGTGAGACACTGCCATTGAATGTGGGAGAAATGAAAAGACTACCTGTCTTTGATCATCGGTGCCTGCGTTCTATCTCCCGTGTGTGTAGGTGGTACAATAGGGTGAGTGCTATTGAGGTTATGCGTAGAATGTTAGATAAGGAGGGGAAGTCAATCGATGAGGTTGTGAAACGACATCTATTGAGATGGCTACAACATGTCTTATGCATCTCCAGTTAGTTAGTTAGTTAGTTTTCCAAAGGTAGGAGATGATTCTATGGATATTCATGAAATAACTTTGTTTATTTACTACTGAAAAACTTGAAGATCTATATTATACGTTATCGTGGATTTAATTATCTCTCTTTGCTTTAATCGCTACCCGTAGTCACTGAAACACTAAGTAATAACTATGAAGGTGACTAGTATAATGTCGCAAAGTGTATTTATGTTGAAAAAAGGAGACGTATGTGCATATTTAACTATACTGATTACCGTATCTTTGGCCTACAATTCAGATATTGGGTGTGAGGACAAATACTTGCCGAAGATATTGGCCAGTGGTGGTGCTAGAAATTGCGAATTAACAGAAGTCAGAATTCATGGGCCATTGTGTCCGTTCTCAGTGACTGGATAGTCAACGCGCCGGCCTCCTAAACTAAAGGTCCCAAACAAGGACGAAACAACTGTGCAGTATTACCTGGTTTTCAGTTATTCTTTTACTTATATAAATCCGTGATCTATCTTGAAATTAATCGTGTCCTTTAAAATCAACACTTACAAACTTCATCATAGTTTGTGCAGGTGTATGTGTACTTGACGTCGATTGGTGAGTGGGAAGTTCAGGGTTCATACTTGTTAATGTCACACCGATACCCTTGTGGCTGTAGATTTCAATATACATCATTGAATGTCAAAATCAATAATATCACAAACATATTCCCAAGTTACGATTAATTATCCGTAAAACTAAATCATGTTCGTAAGTCGCTTATCGGTCAGTCATTCAGTCAGAAATTAAAATTAATTGATCAACTGTTTCACGGTCATTCATCAAGTCACTTCACTTCACTCAGTGTTCTCATAGTAGTACAATACTTGTAATGCCATCTACTTGTAATCTGTTTATTCTCAGTACCGTTTAGATTTTCCTATATTATTTGTTTTATAAAAACACAAACTTGATACATTTATGCGGCACCAACAGAAGCGCCTGACAAAATCTCATAGTTTGTGAGAGGACTGCGATACTGCTGAGAAACCTAAACCGAAGTAGACGGTTGTCATAAGCCTTTGACTCGATGTCTGATCCACAAAGCAGTGGAGCAGCATCAGGAGTTACGTTCCCATGACTGCCAGTGACCACGTTATTTAATCCTTTCGGACTCTGGAATCCATGTACACCATAGGTTTGGAATCAGGATTTTCTAGCTCCCCTAAGTAGACCTGTATGTCTACAGGTCTGATTGTAAGCGCCAGACGTTCGAATTCACCCTTTTACTTTGTAGAAATCTTTACCCACCGCGTGAAGGAGGTGAATAGGACTTACCTGGCAGAGACCATGAATGCGTGGCCACATAAGAACACTGCGAGAGGAAGACGGAGGTCCACCCGCCCTTGGCAGTACGATGTCGTTTGTGGGGGTAAAGTTTTACTGTAGCACTTTAATTCATCAACAGTGGTGGATAATCCCTTGAATCTTAAGCGAATATTTTACTGCCCTCTGCTCAGAACAATCAGTTTACACTGACAAATAGTTATGACAAGTAGATTTATAAATGGGAAAGCAAATTTTAAATTTCATATATATATATATATATTTTTTCCCCTTAAAATCATTTTTAATTTTCATCCTTCATAGTTGAACATTAAACCGGACAGTACAGAAGCAGCTCCATTTAGTCCAGGTGGAAGTGTCTCATCGACTGCAGTATCAGAAAGCACGAATTTTGCACAATACGATCAAACTCCACTTAAACGTGTTGGGCGTCGATTGTTCTCAGCAGAAGAGGCTACTGCAAAACGACTACAGAGTTTATACAAAGCTGTTTACTATTTCCGTGCTGTAAGTTTTTTCTAACTGCATTATAATACTTTTAGTTAAGACGATTACAATGATTACGTCATCTTATCTAAAAACAACGACTATCCGTACTTATTTGTTTTCCTTTTAGGATGATGGACATTTTCCTCGGGATACATTTGTTAGTCTACCGTCAAAAGATGAGTATCCAGATTACTATCAAGTAATATCTAATCCTATTGACCTAACAATGATCAAGCATAAGATGGATGAAGGGAAAGTAAGCCTTTTTAGAAGATGATATCACTTTTTAATTCTATTTTTTTCTGCTCATTTTTGTTGATTATTCAGTCATTGACATTTCACAGTTCACTAATGGCTAATTATTAAAAATACACAGCAAGAAATTAATACACAAAAAAGATTAAAGAACTGTGTGTATCATTGAAATCAATCGACTGACTAGTTGTCACTACACCACACCATGTATCCTACCCAAACCAGTTAAAACAATTCGAATCAACATGAGAACAGTAACCCACTCGAGTTGGTATACCATATTCTAGCCCTACCTGCTGCTTGTGGTCCAACTGATAGAAATTGGTATTGTGTGAGTGCATGTGTGTCATGAGTTTCCGGATCAAAAATGTTCATATAGGAAATCTAATATCATTTACAAATAAGTCACTGTACTATTGTTGTTATTTTATATTTTTTATTTTGATTACAGCTTGATTCCACACCGTATTTTCAGACAAGTATGGAATTTTCAGCATGGATATCGGTAGCCCAAATTTTGCAGGCCGACCATAGATATCGGGTGTGCGTCGGCAGGGGATCGAACCCCGGACCATGGGCATGGTCGACGAGAGTCCTAACCACTGTGCCACCGACGCACTGTGCGACCGTCTTATATCTTATTCTGTTTAAATCTTTTTGAATGTATGGCTCCAACGATTTAGTACTTCTCTAACCTACTAATTTCAAGGCAGATGTTGTCATGAATCAACACCAGTTAGAGAACTGCTGAAAACTAAACAGCACCAGACGACAGTTTCATTTTAATTTAAGACATTTAATCCCCTTAATAAATTTGGATAGCGTTATTAAAAGATGGAGGAGTTTATCTGAAAAATGTGATGTGTTTATTTACGCAATACATCTCGAACAGTCTGATCACGCATTTACTTGTTAAATCAATTCAATTCATATGAAGAATGAAAAGTGGAAGGCTAATTAAAATAAAGAAAATGATAAGGGATTTAGCAATAAGAAGTAAAGTAGATTACAATACCGTTGGTAATATAATCAGATAAGGTTAAAGGTAACAATAAATTGTTTTTGTATATACACGGGAGGTTTAATTTTACGAATAGCTGTCGCCTTTGCTTATATCAGTATGTGCCCCTGTCGGTTTGTATAGATAATCTGGAAAGCTGTTATGATATTAATCATGTGGTTCATATAGACGGAGTTGGCAGTCAGTCACTTGAGTTTATCGAAGTTCTACAGTTCATTTGTTTTTCAAGCCATTTGGGTATATGTACTCCCACTCTTACGTGCAAAGCGCGATTACTCCTCTTTATGTACCATATTTGTTACCACACACACATACACACATGTAAGTTGGTATACATTATGAGATGTGACATTAAGGTCCTTAATGGACTGACTCCCCACCTGTCAAAATTACTAACCGTCAAAAATGCAATGGTTATTTTCAGTTCAGATAATCTTCATCTTGTAATACTGCTATCCAAAGTTTCACCCTATTTTTGGAATTAAGACTGAAAATATGAATAGACGTCTTTTTTTTCCTTCACGTTCCCCAGTGAAACATAGGGCTTCAAGCTAGAGGCTTGAAGTTTCTGTAGCAGTGTTTATTTTACAGGATGGGGTTGCTAGCCTCATGCCCAACTTTTCCTCTTCACCAGCATTATTTCTGACTTAGCGAGTTAAAGGAGTGCGTCGACCGGGGATCGAAATCCGGACCATGTGCACGGTCGGCGAGCGTCCTAACCGCTATGCCACCGACGCAATAGACGTCTTACTGTTTCTATATTTGAAGATATTCAAACTTCAGAGATTTGTTAATTGCTAATTTACTCAAATTTACTGGTCGTTTTATATACATTCAAAAAGTTTTTTAGCATTCATCATGTCGTAGTATCCCTATGATTAATTTTAAAAATATCATTTTTCTCCTCTAGTACTCTACATATGAAGAAATGGCTAGTGATCTACAACTAATGTTTACTAATGCTAGAACTTATAATGAAGAAGGTTCATCAGTGTATAGTGATGCAGAGCTTTTAGACTCGATTGTTAAAAAACGCATTAGAAGTTTTGTTCAATATACTGCAACTCCAACTCGACCAATAACGTAAGTCATTTTTAGTGTCCTTGTTCTCTCTCTTTTTTTTTCTAAACAGCAAGTTAACCACTTTTATTCTTCAATTATTATTTTCTCCTTAGCTCTATACTGGATTTCTACAACAAGGAGGTCAACACAAATCTTTTTTTCCCGTGTTAAACAATGTACTGAAAATGTAAATAGGGAAAGCGGAAAAAACAATGATTTTATGCATCGATTTAGATGATGACTCCAGTCAACTTAAGTCTTGATCCTCTTTTTTCGATGATCACGACACTGGGTCTTTCTTTACTGTAGCTATGGCATCGTATACTATTTCAACAGCACTGAACTTATCTTAATAATATAATAATGTAGCGATGCAGAATTTACTGCATGGACATTGTTAATTTACATGAAGCTAATATAATGGTTAATTGGATTCTCTTTCTTCTAACATTATCACTCCAGGTCACTCAATCCATTTTCATGTTATGTGGTTTGACTATAATTCATTTAACTTGATTATTTTTTTGTCTTATCAACCCTTAAAATTATTCCAGTTGCAATGACTGGCACTTCTCGAGCCTATTACTTTCATTCTACGAATGATTTATTCCTGTTGTTTTCAAATTGTAGGATGTCTCAACAGTACGACGCTGCAAATGGGCAACCACAAACCAACTCAATAAACAATACTCCTGCTGTTGTTCATCCTCAACAGTCAGGACAACCAACAGTACCACTTTTGCAGCGTGTTATGCTGGAACTTTTTCAGGCTGTTCGTGATTATCAAATCAATGGGAGAATTTTGTCCACTCCATTTATGCGTCTACCAACTCGCAGTGAACTTCCAACGTACTATGAATTTATTAAGAAACCTATAGAATTACAAGCAGTTGCTAAACAGTTAGTACAAGGAAAGTACAATGACTTTGAAGAATTTGCTGGTGAACTTTTCTTGATGTTCGATAATGCATGTAGATTCAATGAACCAGATTCACAGATTTATGCTGTAAGTGCCATATACACTGATAATGATTCGATTTTTTTTCTCTTCTCCTACTACAACGTATTAATACATCTTTTCTAACTACTTTCTCATTTTAGGATGCATTAATACTTCATAGAGTGTGCTTAGCCAAACGATCTATGCTACTATCTATTCACCAGCAATCTCTTTCTATACCTCCATGTGTTGCACCTGATGTTCCTACAGGCATCCGTCGTTTGTTAACTAATCTTCACAATGCAATGCTGACTGCATGTGATCAAGACGGTCGGGGATTAGTAGATTCATTAATTGCAGGTGATGGTACGGAATCAACACTGACTTCAGTAACAGCAGCTCGCTTGGCTGCACTTCATCGTGCAGTAGCAGAGGGTTCATATCGTCGTTTAGATAGTCTTCAATCAGATTGGCTTGGAATATTAGTTAGAGCACGAATAGGAGAAGGATCAGATCAACCTGCAGAAGTGAAAAATCCTTGTCCCACTAAACAACAACGTTTAGATGCTGCAGAATTAGCTCGTCGATGGGTTCGACTTCGAGATGAATTATGCCATCGACAACAGAGAAGACCAACAACTCAGACAACTACAGGAAACACCGACTCTGGGTCTGTGTTACCTACCCATGTTGTTTTGTATAGTCCTGCTATGTCCTATACAGAAGCTGCACTAGAACGCGATATCAATGATGAAGATGCTAAGCATAAGCTTCCAACTTATGATGATGAAAATGGTGAAGAAAATCTCAAACCACTTTCAGAAGGCGAATGTGAATTAAAAGTAAGTTCTAAGTGTTGATTACAATTAGGTTTATGTTAGAGCGATTGCTCTTATTCTGATTTGATAATGCTGTTCAAACTTACATAGTTGGTAGCCTACACGAAATATTACTTTCAGAAGTATTTTTGACTTCCGTTTTGGTCCAATGCCTACATGAAGACTTGCATTGAGTATTCCCTTCGTAAACTACAATTCAGTCGAGTACTTTTGAATAACTAATTGAGCATATATTTCTTCTCAGGTATCATCACACCAATTTATATAAGAAGAAATTTAAGTCCATAAATATGTTATTAAGATATGACAAATTAAATGGGCATCATTTTTACTCGTAAGAATATGAGATGAAGTTGTGCTGCCAAGATAGGTTTTAGTTATAAGCTAAGTACTCTATCTTACTTCGTTTACTTTTGTGATTCTTTATGCGTTTTTTATCCCGTTGTTAGACAGATCTGTACTCCTTCCTAGGTGATTTATGTTTCACACATGAGCACAGTAGGATATAAAAACTTTTGCTGTTTAAACCTGTATTAGTTATATTTTATGATTTATGTTTGATGTCACACAAAATCGAAGACTTACAAGCGAAAACCGACAAACTGGTCGAAGAAGCAGCTGGAGAAGACAGGACTCCAGGTGAACATAGACAAGACGGAGGTTATGAAAATAACCAACCAACCAACAACAACAACAGCAACATCCAGCGACAATCACCATCAATGGGAGGGATTTGAAAGAGGTTACTTCATTCACTTATCTAGCGAGCATTGTCTCAACTACAGGAGGAACGGACGAGGATGTCAAATCGAGAATCGGGAAGGCGAGAAACACATTCATCAACCCGAAACCAATCTGGAAATCTTCGTCACTCAACTCAACATCAACAACAAAATTCGGATTTTCAATACAAACGTCAAGTCAGTCACTTCTTCTATACGGATCAGAAACTTGGCGAGTCACAAAGAATATTTCCAACAGCCTGTTGCAGACCTTTATCAACAACTGTCTTCGCTCTATACTGAAGATCAGATGGCCGGCCGGAAAGAATCACCAACAAGAAACTATGGGAACAAACAAAACAAGAACCAATCGCCCAACAAATATGCAGGAGAAAGTGGAGATGGATTGGACACTCGCTGAGGAGGCCGCTGGGTGACATCGCGCGTCAGGCCATAGCTCGAGTGGAACCCGAAAGGGAAGCGGCGAGTGGGACGTCAGTGCAAGGGTGACATGGAGGAGATCGTGTGAAGAGGAGTTGAAACAGTATGGACTAACATGGATGCAGGTGAAAAGTACAGCAGAAGACAGAAGCAAGTGGAGACGTGCAGTTGAAGCCCTATGTTCCACTAGGAACCCAAGGGAACAATAATAATAATAATTTATTTTTTATAGTTGTATGAATTGTCTGTACATGCCCTTTCTCTCTATCAGCTTAATTTTTTCTAAAGTTTACAATTTGACTGAAAGTGTATACAGTTGCCTGCAGAGACAGTAGTAGTATTCAAGTGAGCATTATAGTTTGTTTATTTTTTGAGTCTGTTTCTACAGTCTGCGTCTATAAACTAATTTCATTCACATCAAACACAGAGATATTTACTTTACTTTGTTGCTGCTATATTCATGTTCAAACAACATTTTTTCTCTCTCATTACTCAATATTTGTAAAGCATTTCGAAGCACGTGGTCAAATCTATCATGTGGGAGATTATGTGTATGTGGAACCGATGAGACCAAATGTAACTCAATGTCATATAGGCCGTATAACACGTATCAGTAGACGAGAACATTCATCATCAAATGATAATGCGGAGAAAATGTCCACAAACGAAGACCAAACAAAGTCAGAAAATCATAATGAGAACCCTGATTCATCCTCGAAAGTTGATCATCCTGGTACAATCAATGTTCGCTTATCTATGTATTTACGACCGGCTGAAGCTCATCCTTCGCGTAGACGACGTCTCCTAGCTACTGAAGTTTTTCGAACAGCTCTTGGAGAAACAGTTCAAATAAGTCAAATTGTCGGTCGTTGTCTTGTAATGCATATTTCTCAATTTATTCAGTTTAAACCAAAGGTAAGTAATAATGAGTATGTTAGATTTCATGAGTGATTTTTGTTAGGTAAGAATTAATGGCAATTTCTTACTTAATTGTTGTTTAACAACACTAAGTCAAAGCCAGTTTACGTTATGACACGGTAGAAAAGGCAAGTATATTTCACCCAGGGGTAGGGTAAGTATGGAAGACCAAAGAGACAGTTCCCAAACCGAAGTTATTTCTTACTGCCTGGTTGCTGCTCCTGTCTATAATAGCACTTGTGACCATAACAATATTCAATACTTCCACATGAGATAAGTATGTTTGATATAATATACAGTGATACAGCATAAATAACTGGATAACAATCCAGGCACAATTTGTTGTCATAATTATATCAAAGTGTGACTATGTGTGTTATATGAAATAAACTCATCTAATATGGATTGATACTCTCTAGTACAGCGACCAAATTCTACTCTTACACCAATATTCAGTACTGTCTTCATTATAAAATGTTTAAAGGTGATTTCCTCTAACACACGGGAGCGATTAAACCTGTCTAAGTGTGTTTTCATCTAGGCATCTAAGAAATACTGTGCAGCATAGACGCCATAAACCAACCATGAAAACAGATTGCCGTAGGATATCTGTAGTTATACAGAAAAGTGAGTTACAACAAGAACTAATGCATTCGTTTATGCATTACTAATTTTATGTCCAACTGGGTGCATCTGACAGCGGTGATTATTAACACTGAATGCTTTGAAAGTTAACCTGGCGATCCAGGGTGCTGTTCATCATTACTAGGACCTAATTATCCAATGAATGTATCATATACGTATAATATCTTGTCTGTCCGTAAGGTCAATCTTCCAGTGGTAGAAATGTTGGATATTTTTCGCCCAGAAATAAGATGTTGTGGAGATAAGCTGAAAGGGATCTGTCTATAGGTGATTTTTTTCATCAGCAAACATTGAAGAACAGAGATTTACCACAGACGTTGATCGTAGTTGGATATGAATAGTTCTTATTTTTTCTGTGATGAGGCCTGTATATGTAATGCAACTTACTGGAAATATATTTGTTACATAGTGTGTTTAACAACAAGTTTTTCATACTTATCCATTACCACATAGTTTGCCTACATTTTTGTTTATTATTTAGAATCTTGAAGAACGTGATATATTTATTTGTGAATCTCAGTTTTCGATTACATCACAGCTGTTTACCAAAATTCGAGTAAGTTGTTAACTTGAAAATGTTAATTTTCACTCATCTGATGTACAGTCTTGAAATTGTCATTTATTTCCTTTGAATAGTGATATGCAATTTTTTTTGTTTGTTTTTATTCCTGTACGTTCGCAATGGAACATAGGGCTTCAAGCTCGAGGCCTGAAGTTTCGGTAGCAGTGGTGTTTATTTTTATGGGATGGGGTCGCTAGCCTCATGCTTAACCTTCCGTCTTTACCTGTCTTATTACTGGCTTAGCGAGGTAAAGGAGTGTGTCAGCTGGGGATCGAACTCCGAACCACATGTGTGGTTGGCGAGCATCCTACCACTGTGCCACCGATACGCACAAACCTGGGAGTACTGGACAACTGTTTCATCCCAGTCTGAGACTCTTCAGCAATACACACCCACTTAGGGTCGAACCCAGGACCCTCTGGTTTCAAGGCAGCCACGTAGATCATTAAGCCACTGGGACTCCAAACACTGGAACATAATGTATACTTTGATCACAAATGGAAATGTCTACATGTAGTCTTCTGTCTTGCTATCCTGTTTGATTTCCTTACATTTGTGTTATTTGGAAATATTTTGAGTAACATTGATTTACTCAGCAATCCCAAAAAGAAATGTGTGTTCAACTTGTCAAAAGATAAAAGAAATCTTTCAGAATATTTGTTTATCATCACTTTGCGTAATTTCTATACTGGGCTGTTGAAAAGTTATTTGCATAAGTTCCTCATAAGGAAAAACGCAGTTATACGGTATAACTATTACAATTCCTAATGCCTTTTTCATTCCGTCTTACTTATCTGCTTGTTCATTTTCATAGTCAAGCTTTCATAGAAACCCTATTACTATATGGAAAAGTTCATTAGAACTCAACTTTTCTGCTACTTAAAAAAAACCCATATACTCTGGTCAATAAAATTGTTCTTATTTTGATAATAAACGCGAATATGCCTACTGAGTTGAATATAAATCAAATAATATCATTCATCCTATCACTTACTGTAAAGTGTATAGTTTGTAATCATTTAGCCTATATTTGAGTTGCATCAATGCTACTCATTGTCTTTCAAAACCGTAGAATCTCGACAGCCATTGGAGATTCGTAAAATTTAATTCGTGCATACCATGGAATTCTTGATAGTCTTATGAAACTATTTTCCAATGTAAATCATACGTGTACAGACTTTGTTTATTTTGCACAGTGTTTGCGAATATCTTGTAAACAGTTTATAAATAGTCTTGTGTTTTTCAAGTGGAACATGCGACTTCAAGCTATGCAATTTCAGTAGTGCTGGTGAGTTTACTAACCTCACGCCCACCCTTCCCTCCTTTCCGGGCTTACTGTCTGCTGGTAAACCAGGTGAAGCTTAGAAGTGCGTCGACCAGGAATCGAACCCAGACTATGTGCTTAGTAGGCCAGCCTTTTACCAACAGGAAAGAATATTCTTTGCTTCAGTAATCTGTTTTATTTATTATCAGAACTTTTATCAGTCTTTTTATACTGTAATCCTACATAATCTTTCTTTTTCTTTTTCTAGAATTGGGATGTTCCCGTTCCTTCGAGTATTGAATTAGAGGCTAGACCAACTCCATTTGTACCAACCCGTTTACCGCCAAATGAACCTTTAGGAAATGCTCTAGAACAGGTGGATAACAGTCTTTTTGTTCAAATGAATTATCCTTTACCAAGAACCTTCCAAGTAAGTTCTTCCTTTTTCTACTGTTTATTTTTCTTAAAACCATTTAAAAAATTAGTACTGTGCATAAAACAATGCACTGCCTCCAAAGCCTCAGGATGGTCGGGAGTGGGTGCCTTGCGCTGCGGGTTGGCCACCCCTCCGCACACCTCTTGAAATGCTCCCATATGACCGGGCGTCTTACATAGCCTCTCCTGAGGAAGTCCTACTCACTGCCTTCACGTGGCGGAGGTGTTTTTCACCAAAGTGAGAGGGCAAGGCGGATGCCCGGCGCTCTTCACCGGGTTGACTGTCCATTGGATGACAGTCTAGGGGAGATGGCTAAACCCTGATTCCAAACCTCCAACGACTGGCGTATGAAGCTCACTGGAGCTCACCGGCAGACGTATGGACAAAGGGCTTGTTGGATGTCCTGGATGTCTGGCCCCATTCAAAAAGGCGTATGAACCGAACTCCGGTCACCGGCTGCCAATGGATAGTGGACTCCCTACTCCACTCCTACTGCCTTGTAGGTCACACTTGGTTGTGTGAAGGCTAGAGCTGCACTCTCAAACAAAAGGCCGAGCGATTCTGGGGACATCACTCGTACCAAATTCCCATGAAACTTCATGAACTCTCTTACATGGCTTGGTACAGTCAAGGCTGATATGGAGTGCCTGGGGCTACAAACCGTCTACGGACTCCGTCTGTGGAACAAGAATTGGAAAACCCTGTCGCAAAACCTTGCATCAGATCGCCGCGCCTGGGCAGCGATGATTCGAGATGTTCATGAAGCCGGCTCATCCTCCCGTAGGAGATAGCCGAAGTAAAGTAAAGTAAAGTAAGTAATAGAATTCATTTCATTGATACGTCAGTGTGGTGTATTCAAAAACCCTACCGAAATTTGGGCGTTTATTACCTATTCGGGAACCTTTCTTCGTTGAGTATTCCTGTCATCCGCTTTTATCATAGGGCGTCTTATTTGTCAAAGATGTGAGGCATCTGCTGTATTGCATAGTAACGACTGAATTTAAAGGAATTTAGTCGCATAAAATGCATTGAAAACTTCTGATAATAAATGAAATTTCCAAATGTTACTTGAGGTCACCTAATTGTGTTGTCTTTGGAGACTGTTTGTCATAAGATCGTTGCATTTACAATATTTCTAGATTTCATACAGTAAAAGTAACATGATAATTTCAATTGTAGTGTACCATTATTCAGTAATAATGGTTGACTGCACTGATCTCTAATGACTTTAGAAAAGTCAAATGAAATGCAGCTAGACATTCGTGTTACTCATCATCTATTCACTGTTTTTTCTGTTTTACTCACTACAGTCACTTGTTCTTGAAGATCTATCAGAAACAGAAGGAACTATAACCTATGAACAATACGTTCATGACAATGGATTTTTAGTGAAATTAGGTAAGTTTTTTAGGTGAGATCATTGAAATTCGTTTTGTGTAATTTTTCATGGATGTTTCTTAATTTCACGTCAGTTGAATAAATCTGTTCAGCATACATTTGAGCCAACAATAAGTTTACATTTGTCCGGTTGTGGTAATAAATTCAGTGAAAAGTGTCAATTTTCTGTAGTTGGTTTGTAAGGATAGGTTTTGTTTTTACGAGTTGATCACGGATTGATATCAGTTAGAGAATCATTGAAAACCAAGGAGTACTGGACAGCTGTTTCATCCTAGTCTGGGAATCATCGGCAGTACGTACCCAGGAAACTCCATCCTGTAGCAAGTCACTAGCGAGCATCAGATTAATTTTCAATCCTTACAAACCAACTCTTGATAATTAATCTGATGATCGCTAGTGACTTGCTACAGGACGGAGTTCCCTGGAGTTCTAGTGAGAAGTCGTGACCAGTAAGGTCCATCCAGTCACGTGTGAGGATAGATGTCCCACCGACGACATTGGATGGGGTCGCGCTAAGTCACGAATTGGTAGAAGTTAGAACTCATGAGACACTAGGATGAAACAGCTGTTCAGTACTCCCTGGTTTTCAATGATTCTCTAACTGATATCAATCCGTAAAAAAGTCGGTAGTTTTATTATCTTCTATATTGAGCTTCAAGTATTAGAATCGAAATCGCTTGCGACTTCTATATACTTCTTTAATGACTGTTTAGATATTTTCTGCGTATATATTTGCACCATCGAAGCAAAATCCAATGCGCCGCAGTTTATTTGCTAAAATATGCCCTAATTAGTTAACTTCTAGCCTTTTGCTTTTTGCGCATTTCTAACTACGACTTGAACTGAGCTAGGGTGGTGCACTAAGTCCTACATATACTTGATTATAAATATCACTTCCTATACTAAAGTACTTGTACAATTATTTTCAAGTTAATTGGCATTTTTTTTTGAAGGAAGGCGATCGTAATCCGGGAACTTACATGATATTATTGGAAAAAAACTAATTGTATCGTTCAAAATTATTGCCATTTCACCAATATCCATGACTTTATCTTTGATTAGCTTTGTGTTAGGGTGAAAAAGGGCTGACTGTATTGCTGCTTAACAATATTTAATGCAAACTGAAAGACGTTATGCTATGTATAACTAGTATGTGAAGCTCAGTTACTATCATGATCTCCAAAGTATACTTAGATGTTTGCGTTTTATCTCGTTTGTTAAGTAGTATAATATATTAAGCAATATTGAGGTTAGGCGTGGAGTGCTTGGAAGGAAAGTTAGTCGATGAAGTTGTGGGGCCACATCTATTGAGATGGCCAGGACACGTCGTACGTGCCGAGCCATTGCTTTCCTCACCGAGTAATGTTAGCTGACACAGGTATAGTTGGGTGGGAAAAGAGCCGGTGGTCGTCAAACCAAAACCTGCCATCAATCCTTGAAGCGTTTGACAGTTAGTTTGAGCCACGTAGGGAGGTGCAGACTGCCTGATTGGGGAACTTGGGTTACCAAGATCTAATGGCTGGAGGCTCAACATCGTTCTCAATGTGGTCTCCCATATCCATTAAACCGTCATATTTTTCCATTTTACTTTTCTTTCTCCCTCACATTTCCGCTAATTATAGTTTTTTTGAGTCTCTTTTTCTCTACTTTTGTGCAAAGTTCTATGTTGAAAATCAGTCTCAATCAGTCTGTTTACAACTTAATATGTTATGTGGATCGTGTTTTATTTGAACTTGTATCTCGATGTTATTTTTAAATGCTTAGGACGTTTATTTGACTTTAAAACACAGTATAGAGGTCTTTTTACACCACTTTGTTAACACGGATATACAGTAGCATTTGGTGGCATTTATATATTCTTGTTTATTTCTTAGTGAATTGCTTAATAAAAGTTGCGACAATTACAGTCACAACATTTATTTTTCTGTGTATTTTCTCCTCTAATTCCCCCCTCCCCTAAAAGGTGATTTTCTTTACGTTCCACCAACTGAGGGTTCCTCGGAACGTCGTATTGTACGAGTCGACAAATTGTGGAAGTCCTGCGCGTAAGTTTAATAAAATAATAATTATTTATTCCAAAACAGTACTTGTGATACAGAATGGAATTTTCAGCATTATCACAATATTGCATCTAATTTCCTCAAATTATAAATAAATTAATCACACAGAAAATTTTCACATTTACAATAGGTTAATATAAAAAAACATGCAGCATATAAAATGGAAATAATAATAATGATAACAGCTAAGGTAATAATAATACAAGTGAAAATTGCCGTGGGCTTGTTTCACACAATATTGTCGATGCGGTATAGAAATCCTAGCATGTTTAAAAATATTGAATATAATGTTCTCTTTACATGATATGTTGAGGGGAAAAACAAAGATTACAGCAGTCATAGAGATAAGTTGATGTTTGCAATTATGAAAGTAAAACAAAGAGCAACAGGACCAAATATAATAAAGTTAAAGATAAAAGCATCATGTTTCAGTGTCCCAGTTGGAACCATTTACTGTATTTCATGGCAATTTCCACAGTAAGGATTGGCGACCAAATTTATGCAGTAGGATTTGTAAAATAATATTGGTCCGCTCCCCTTCTGAGGACTGTAACGTGTATATACGTAGATTTGATTGTACGATGTTAGTGTTAAAATAGGTGTTAATCACTTTCATCTGTCTTGTGAATAAGTCGATGTAATGGGTTCGTTCCGATTCCATACAATAGTTATGATGATTCTAAATTCTTCACGAGATATACGTATCAGAATAATCGGAATCCGATACACTTACTTTTACTCTGGTTGCTATTAAATGATCCAGAAACTCTTGTTTTTGATAACTTGTTCTGATTTTCATTATACATATGTGATAAACTGTATTTTTATGAACTAATGAATACCACACAATAAATCGCTCATACTTATCAAGACGACTAGAATTCTGTGTTTTACCTTGCAATCGGATTTATTCTATTTCGTATTCCTCGTATAGACTGACGAAAAGCACGGATTTGTGGTCTTGCGCCAATAAATCACTACTCTCCTCACTCATTTGTCTGTAGAGCAACACAACACTAGGTTGGTGGCCTAATCTAAAATTTAAACAGCATGCACAACCTGAGTGACAGATATCATGTGTGTTGTATTAATACTTTGCAAGTTTCTTTTATCGGTTGTCAGACAGACGGTATTAAAACACGATCTGGCAAAAGTCGCATAATGGCCCGAGCTGTCACACATCGTCTGTGTGCATCAAAGTGAGGTAGAGACGCAAATAATATGATAAAAGGTAGTCATCAGTTGTTATAAGACAGCAAAAGAAAACAAACGAGAAAAACAGTTCAGCGAAAGGTAGACTATGGATGCATGTAAAGGTGTTACAGTTGATTCTAAGCTGTACTAATGATATGTCCTAGTGGTCACATAAACCATAGTCAAGCAATGTATACTCGCAACATGTCTTTTTCTGATCTCCTTTTCCTAAGTCAATCTTATTTTCTCTATCATATCATGTTGAGGTAAACGTCGATTAGGCGTGCACAATACATGTCCTAGCTATCTCTTCCAGTGGAGAGTTGTATTTTACTCAAACAATGGCTTATTCATCTTAATCGAAACTCTACGCTTAACTTCTGCATTTCTTAACTCATGTTCCCACTGAATGTGTGGGATATTACGAAGATAAGGATGATTTTATTATTATTATTATTTATTGTTCCCTTGGGTTCCTAGTGGAACATAGGGCTTCAACTGCACGTCTGTCTTCTGCTGTACTTTTCACCTGCATCCATGTTAGTCCATACTGTTTCAACTCCTCTTCACACGATCTCCTCCATGTCACCCTTGAACATCCCACTCGCCGCTTCCCTTTCGGGTTCCACTCGAGCTATGGCCTGACGCGCGATGTCACCCAGCGGCCTCCTCAGCGAGTGTCCAATCCATCTCCACTTTCTCCTGCATATTTGTTGGGCGATTGGTTCTTGTTTTGTTTGTTCCCATAGTTTCTTGTTGGTGATTCTTTCCGGCCGGCCATCTGATCTTCAGTATAGAACGAGAAGACAGTTGTTGATAAAGGTGTGCAACAGGCTGTTGGAAATATTCTTTGTGACCCGCCAAGTTTCTGATTCGTATAGAAGAACTGACTTGAAGTTTGTATTGAAAATCCGAATTTTGTTGTTGATGCTGAGTGACAGCGGAAGATTTCCAGATTGGTTTCAGGTTGATGAATGTGTTTCTCGCCTTCCTGATTCTTGATTTGACATCTTCGTCCGTTCCTCCTGTAGTTGAGACAATGCTCCCTAGATAAGTGAATGAAGTAACCTCTTTCAAATCCCTCCCGTTGATGGTGATTGGCGCTGGATGTTGCTGCTGCTGTTGTTGTTGTTGGTTGGTTATTTTCATAACCTCCGTCTTGTCTATGTTCACCTGGAGATACCTTGAATCTTTGTGAGTCCTTTACCCCCAGTGTTCATGTTTCGTATATCCATTATATGACAATGAAACATTGTTGCCTAATATGTTCGACTCTTAGTGGGCAATCTGACATCGCTCTTGAGATATAAGTGCCGCAGTAAAACTAAAGTGACTATTCTTTCCGAAAATTTGTCATTCACCAAGCCATCAGAATCAATGTAACTTTTTCAAGGTAACTGAAATTCACTTACTTTACTTTACTTTACTTCGGCTATCTCCTACGGGAGGATGAGCCGGCTTCATGAACATCTCGAATCATCGCTGCCCAGGCGCGGCGATCTGATGCAAAGTTTTGCGACGGGGTTATCCAATTCTTGTTCCACAGACGGAGTCCGTAGACGGTTTGTAGCCTCAGGTACTCCATATCAGCCTTGACTGTACCAAGCCATGTTTCCAGCTGTCTACCCCTGCGACATCGCCAAGATGGTAATGGCGAGGGATTTAGAACTGATTTGACCAGATCGTCATCTGGTCGGCGCAGAACATGGCCAAACTACCGAAGGCGACGTTGTTGGAACAGTACTGGAATTTGGTTGATGTTGTAGCACAGGGCGCGTCGCTTACCGCGAACGCCGTAGCATGGTGAGAGTCGTTTGTAAGAGAGTTCATGAAGTTTCATGGGAATTTGGTACGAGTGATGTCCCCAGAATCGCTCGGCCTTTTTGTTTGAGAGTGCAGCTCTAGCCTTCACACAACCAAGTGTGACCTACAAGGCAGTAGGAGTGGAGTAGGGAGTCCACTATCCATTGGCAGCCGGTGACCGGAGTTCAGTTCATACACCTTTTTGAATGGGGCCAGACATCCAGGACATCCAACAAGCCCTTTGTCCATACGTCTGCCGGTGAGCTCCAGTGAGCTTCATACGTTTGGAATCAGGGTTTAGCCATCTCCCCTAGACTGTCATCGAATGGACAGTCAACCCGGTGAAGAGCGCCGGGCATCCGCCTTCGCCCTCTCACTTTGGTGAAAAACACCTCCGCCACGTGAAGGCAGTGAGTAGGACTTCCTCAAAACCGGTCCAAAAGTAGCAATTTACATTTAAGAGGTGGGAGATATTCTAAATATTATTGGATTCTATAATAAAAGTGTTCTGATAAAGAATCAGCATCTTGTCAGCGTTTTCATTCAACTATATCGTCTGTATAATCTCTATAACAGTTAAAGTATCTCTTCTTAACCCATAGAAAGTCAGATATGGATTTAGCGACCTCCATGTGTAAGGCTGATTAGAAACAGAGAAAATTTGCCTTCTGTTGGGTGGCATTATTCGATGTATGCACCTCAAGATATACTTGACCATAGGCTGCAGTAGCGTGAACATAGAATCTACATGAGTGTTGAAAAAATACAAGTTATTAAACTACCACATTTCATTTACTCCTGTTTCGTTGTTTCTTCTAAATACATTTCTGCATAAAATATTCAATGTGTTCTGTTCATTTGTTGTTTCCTTATTACCTAATTCAGTCAAAATGCTATTTTATTTACTGGACCATGGTTTGTTACTTCATCGTCTGTGGAGCATCTACCAACACGTTTATTTTATCCCAAAGAAGTATTTCTTGCGAGTACTGAGCATGCTGTTCATGCACTTGCTTCAGCTACAGGAAAATGTTACGTTATGCGTCCGTGTGATTATGCTCAAGGTAACTGTGTAAATGTTTAGAAAACAATTTACCCCAAAGTTATTGTCTTCTATAAAATCATTGTGAATTTCAAATAGAGTGTGTCATTGTTTTTTGTTTTACTAGTAAGACTATTACCATTAACTGTGATTATTGTAGACGTATATCCCACATTCTTTAGAGATATCATTATAGCAAAGTCCGACTTTAGACAATCGAGAGGCACAAAGGCGTCAATGACATAGGAAAGAGCATTTGAGCTAAAATGCAAATTTGGTCCCCTAATTCAACCATAACCCCCTTACCTCTGACCATCCCTAATGCCTCCCTAATTAAGTTAATCTAACTCTAGCCCCTGTCCTTAGACTAAACGTAACTTTAATCTTTCCCTAACCTAAGCTAAAACTGCCCAGATGTTCTGTTTGACATAATCATCATCACACTTAATTCAACACTTTTTCATGCATATAGTGTTGTTTACCTGATTTCAATGCCTTGCACCAACTTAGCATTCCGAGGCGACTGATGCTTTCCCGTCTATTGGGTGTCCAAAGTTTATTTCTCCGTCATTATTTCTGTTATCAGTAATTTTCAACAACATGAATATGGAAATCCTATATAGTCCCCCTGACTAGACATACACACTGTCAAATTGATAGAAAATCCCCATAGAAATTAAGGTGCTTCCTAAATTCGAATAGTATTTATTTTTCTTTGACTGTGTATATATTTGTTTTTGGTGTCTTTGTTTTCAGCTCGACCTTCTGAAATTCCAGAACAAGATATTTACATGTGTGATTCTAAATATTTTGAAAGTGAAAAAGTTATTCGTAAACTCAAGAAAGGATTGAAAGTACGTTAGCATTTGTAAAGTTACTTACCATTTTATTATATGAATTAGTTTATTTTTACACTAGTTGTTATTGATGTTGTTTTTTTATTCGGAAGAATGCTGCGATACGTTAGCACACATTGTTCTCTCTACACAGTAGAAAAATGAGAATACAACTCAACCCATTGCAAGTTTGTATCATAAACAATGAGCTACAATGTTTAAATGTTTGTCTTGTGATATTCTATAGTTGAGAAAGTTGAAGTAATTAAACTTGGATTTGATGTGCATACGGGTCACGAAGAATGATTACAAGGCATATCATCTCGAGCATCTAATCATAATTTTCGGCTGTCCGACGGCCATACAACTTACATTTTCCGACATAACTAAAGCCTACAGTTAGTGACTTTATTGATTATTCTAGGCATGCCTCGATCGATCTCTATCAGTGGAATCGTGCTCTGACTAACGTAGCACTTTAAGGTAGATAGTGAATTAGCATACGTATCGCATCTCAGACATTTCAGGTGCTAAAGGCGTACAGTTTTACTAACTGACTCACCTGTCTTATCAATAACTCTTCATCTAATGTTTGGACTGTTAGCCATGTTAATCAATATCTCACGAAGTTCCTTTTTATTCACTTACATTGTATATGTTCACTGTTGGTAAAGTTGATCGTTACTCTTAGTAAAGTGTATCGTATTTCATACATTTTCTCTTCGGTTATAGTTTGAACTAATATAAAGCAGTGCTGCGTAAAAATGATGTGTGCTGTATTTTGAAAAGTTCTTATACTTATCGACTTTTATAAGTAATCACTACTCTATTCGGTACCAATTAGTAGGTTTTGTCTTCTCTTATCTTTTTGTAATAAGTTGAAATGGATTGTTATCAATTCTTACAAATCAGGATTGATCACTAACTGACTTTCGAGACATTAAAAGCCAGGGAGTACTCGTCGAGTTCGTGGTCCATCTTGAAATCACTGGCTGAATGTTATACGAATTCACCTTGTAACCTGATGGCCCTGGGTTCGAACCCCGGTTGGGTCATGGGTGTGTACCGATGAAGAGTTCTGCACTAGAATGAAATAGCCGTCCAGTACTCCCTGGTTTTCAATGGTCCTTAAGTCAGTTCGTGGTCAGTCTTCAAATCGGTCAAATCCATGCAAACCAGTGCTTGAAAATCTTACAAGTCAATTCAGTTAAGTTTGTTTTTTTCATGTGCTGTGAATTTTTAACAGAAATGGGGGGTTTTTGCATGGTGGGATTGCTTGCTCCACTTCCAGTCTAACCTTTTTTCAAAGCTTAGAGACTGGCTAGTAAATTGGGTGAAGTGGAAAATATGGTTTCATTATGTAGATAAACGTAGCATATTCATAATAGCTTTATTCTAAAGAGTATTTTAGTACAAATATGGAATTTTCAGCATGTAATACAATGTTACATCTAATTTTCTCTTTACATAATACAGTGGGGTTGTGCATATATCTTAATCTTGTTTGTGATCATCTGCCATCAGAAAACAGTTACTACAGCATTATAGAATTATGTAAAGAATAGGTTAAAACATCAGTAATAACCAAATAGTATTAGGCGGACTAATCGTATTAAATGATTCATTTAAAGGGTGTTGATTTAAGGATAATCAGCCGACATCTATGTTATTCACTCAGGCTATATCAGTTATCCTTTACAATTTATTACTTCTTGTCTGTGTTTTCTAGAAGTTTCAGTTTTCATCGGATGATGTACACGAAGATGAATTTTTCTTCTTCTCTCAACAAATTGTGCCTAGAAAAGTAAGTAGTATCATTTTCATCTTCAAAATTCGTTTTTTTGTTTGTTTGTTTGTTGTTAATTTACATTTAAAGGAGCTTCCAATTTTAATTTTAATTTTTAGAATATACTGAAGTGAAATTTAACTTAACAAGGTTTTGTTTCCTTGGGTTATGATCTGTTGCATATGTTACTGGTTTCATAAATTGATCAGGATTGTTTAAGATTTCTAACTCCATTTTCACTTTATGTAGGTACTTTTTCATCTGTTAATCTCTTGTATTTATCTTTTTACAGGATGCTTCGCCTCTTTTGGCTCAAGCCTCTACAGAACCACTTCAAAATGAACAACTCAATCGTCCTGTTTCACTTGCACTTACTTGTGCACTTGCTGCTGCAGCTGGAACCACTACCAGTATGGTGACCTCTCCAATTATATCAATTCCTACAGACACAACAAAACAAACTGAACGTTTATCGACTGGACAAGGGAATGAAAATACTGCAACGAGTTCATTAACAAGCCATAATACAACTCCTGTAATTGGTCGTCCACCGTCTAATACACCACCTATTAACAATACTCCTGTTCATGGCATTTCACAATCACCTCAAATTGATGCCTTAACTCGTGCTTTTATTGAAAATAATGTGGATCGGACTGGCAAAAAGGTGCGTGTAGGTTAAGTAATTCTGATTAGTTTGTAGTCTGTGGAGCTTAGACAATAAGTTATGCCTTTTGTATTCTGTATATATACAAGATTATTTAGTGTGAAATTTATTCTCATCTCGATACTGGTTAGGGAAGCTTTGTGTGCTTATTGAAGTGTATGGACAGTTATTACTTCCCAGCTGTCCACACCATGGAAGTTGATTTCTTCCCGGGGTACCTGAAACAGAAGAAGCATTAGATTTGCGTGGTCGCAGAGCCAATGGGACTGAGTGAGAGACTGGTTGCACACGACCTGTTTGAGGTGGTTATTGTAGTTGTGTGTGTATTAAGACCCTACCACTGGCTATGGACTGCTGTATGGTAAGTTGAGGTATAAATTTTCGGGGTTTACCTTACCTAACTCCCCTCCTCAGAGAGAAGAGGCAGCAGCACGGCTGGCTCACTGGTCATCTGAGGGAAACACCTTACTGCTGTTACATCTGTATTCTCCAGCAGTACGACTTCTCCCATGGGACGCCAACATAGTGTTAACATCTAACACTATGATTGTAACTGCTTTTAGAGTAACCGCTATCCAAACGAGCTTCCTGTCATGGTTGGATCTGCAGGAACGTTAGTTCGAGCCAATGTAGCTCGTTGGGTCACTGCAGTATGCCCACCCACCACGTCAAGGTGGCAGCTATCTGTCGGGACTAAATGTTCATCTGGAATTTTGAGGGAATTTGTTTTTTCATTTGGAATTATTCTCTTCAAATTCGGTAATTGGACTTTCGAATTTCATGCTAGACTTTGTTCTCTGCACCAATTCTTTGTTAATTGGTTAATGCCTACACCTTGATGTTTATCAGCGAATCCCAGATTCGAAAGTTAAATCAGTTAGAACCTGATTATCCTCAGCTATAAGTATACTTCATCAGCTGAAATTTTTATTCTCTGTTTTAAAATGTTAATAGCTTCCTTTCATTTTACATCTTTTTAGCGCAAAATTCGCAAACCGCCGTCAGGTTATGTTTTATATGCTGGAGAAATTAGAAAGAAATTGCTACAAGAACGTCCGGATGCTCCATTTGGTGAAATATCCCGCGAAGTAGGATTATTGGTAAGGCATATTTATTCCAACTTTATTTAACTTTTCTTAATTAGTCGTATTTTCCTGCAATCTGTTGTTTCAATGTGTTCGTTGTCTTTCTATACACGAATACATGAGTAGGGAGATTTTTTTACTTATATGTGGAGCTGGTTTCTGTTGGGAATCATTACTTATCAGTTCCACTTAGTAACGCCTCCATTAAGCTTCACAGAAGAAACTACAGCAGGCAATATTTCATCATTTTTATGATTCGTTTTGCCTCATTCTATTACTGCAGTCATAACTATTTACAAGATATGTTACGTTCAGTATCAGATGAGTAGTTATCGTACTCAGAATTTCAAGTAAAATTTGTACTCATTTGTTAATTTTGTAAGGAATGAAGTCAATTCCAGAACTATTAAAAACTGAACAGCTATTTTTCACCCTTTTCTGTGACTCTTCATCTGTGCTCACTCAACAGATTAGTTTTGTGGACTAGAACGAGTTACTCACCTGATACCCTAGTTTTCTAGTTGATCTGGATTGATCATGAAATCTACCGTTGAAATGGTCATTCTCCTAACTGTAACACTTTATATGTATGCGAGTCGTGTTTTTCTCATTTTTGTTTCTTCACCTACAGTGGCGTCAAATGCCTACTTCGCAACGAGATATTTATGAACAAAAGGCTCATCTAATTAGACAACATATGGCTGAGGAGGAAATGCAAATGAAGGCTAGAGAACAAGAACAAGTACAGCTTCATCTTCAGCAACAATTAACAGCTGCATCTGTTTCATCGCTAAACATCGGAGGAACAATGCCTCTTCAAACTGCTGCAGGAGTTAACCCACCCAGTTCACCTCGAATGCCTGTCACTGCACCACCTGCTACAATGCAGTTTTATCAGACACCATCTGGTCAAGTTATTCAAATTGTTCATGCCTCATCAACGCCTAGTGTTGTTGGGCAGAGTTCAGTTCCAGCTCAGACTGTAACGGCCCCACTTGGTCAACCTGTTAGTATTGTTCAAACGACATATGCAACAATGCCTGCAATTGCTTCTGCTTGTCCTGTTGGCAATGCAACTCATCAAGTTAGCTTATTTACAATGATTTATTTAATAATAATATTTTTATATACATATGAGACCTCATACTTTAATAGATTGTTTTTTTTGTATGATTCACATTAAACTGAATGAATCACTTCTGTTGCTTGAAAAACGAATAATTAGGATTGGTTGGTAGAATATACTACTTAAAGTAATATCTGACTAGATTTTTGTATGTTGTCCAAATTTCTTTAGCTACTAGACGAACTCACTAGGGTGGTCATGTGGTAATACAAAACTCTTTTGAAGATTTTAAAATTCCAACCGTATTCTCATTTTTGATAGTAATTTTAAAATGTTAACTGCTTATTTTTTTATTTTATGATAGCTTCAGCTAGATCCTGAAGTTTCTGTGGCAGTGTTTATTTTTACAGGATGGGGTTGCTAGTCTCATGCCCAACCTTCCCTCTTTACCGACTTTATTACTGGCTTAGCGAGGTAAAGGAGTGCCTCGGCCGGGGATCGAACCCCGGACCATGTGCATGATTGCCGAGCGTGCTAACCGCTATGCCACCGACGCACTTCGTAACTGCTTATGGAGAGAATTATTTGAATCCAGTAGTCAACTTACTGAACTCATAGTTTATCCTCTTTATTAAATTTCTTAGTTTTCCAAACAATTAAGTACAGTTTTGCTTATTTTAATGTTTAAGTCTTGAATTCACGCAAAATATAGTAGATGGTGTATTCTATGACTGTTTTAGGTGTCTTAGTATTGTTCACGAAAGCTTATTTACACCTTTCTCATATTTTGTCTTCATAGGTTGTCTACCAGCTGGCTAATCAACAGCCGGGTATTCTTCCGACTGGGACTGTTGGTTCAGGAGCACCACCACAACAATTCTACCAACCACAACTTCATCCTCAACAGCAGCAGCAGCAACAACAACAGAGACTTTTAGTTGCATCTAGTGTTTGCACGACGCCTACTATAATGGGTGCTGTAATTGGATCAACAGCTACTGTACCACCTGGTCTATCTGTTGGCACAAATACGGGTCCTTCAATGTCCAATGTTCCACAAGCACAGATATTGTTAGGCTCAACAGGTACCATACCTACAACTGGGTTACCATCATTAGCGCAAGGTGGTGGTTTTGTCGTAACTACAGCTCCTACGCTAACTCAACCTCAGGTGCATCCTAGTCTTGCTGTTGGTGCCCAACAACATATTGTCCCTACAGTTGGCTCAAATGTTGGTGCTACTTGTTCTCAGGATTATACATCACAAGTTCAACCACAGTATCAATTAGTGCAACAAGGTAAATTAATCCTGTTTTGTGTGTGTGTGTTCAGGTTACCATTGCAGCAGCTTTGGGTTCCATTGAGTGATTTGTAGAAAACAACAACAATTGTTCTGTTGACTAATTCTAAAATTTCAATTTTTTTTGTCTAGTCCCTCAAACTCAGCCGATTCTTCCAAATGTTATGGCTTCTGTTGTTCCCGGGACACAATTTATTCAATCACAACCACAAGCTATACAAACTCATCCACCAGCTGCTCGATCATCTTCCCCAATATTTGTATCGGTTCCGCCACGAACATCTCGTGTTCTTCATTCTGAAATATACCAACGGTAAGTGGGGCACTACTTATGACTGTAGAAGTGAATCCAGTTTCCTAATACTGAATAAACTATTCACATTTAGCAGCAGCAGATACTCGGATTTGTTGTTCATGGATATATTAAACATGAAATTTTTAACATTTTTATCAACATAAAACTAATGCTGTATAGCTATCATTATTAGAAGAATAGATTGACACTGTCACACTGATAATTTGTCTTTGAAATCACGATCAAGCATTTTTTTATAGTAGTCAATAAGCGCTTGCGGTATATACCTTAAAAATCTTTACCATCCTTACAACAAGAGATAAAGAAACCATTGGGTTTCTGGAAAAACATGTTCTAAAGTTGTTGAATCGTTTTACTATATTAGTTGGTTGGAGGCATTCGGCCATAGGAAGCCTTAAACCTAGGTTTTGTGCTAGTTGGCACTCACAACTCGGCAAGACGTATCTGCAACGTTGAAGGAACTCATGTCCCTTCTGAGATTCGAACCCGCGTCACCCAAGGAGTGCTGCAGTCAGAGACATTAGCACTGAGCTATTCGGGCCCGTCATTGACCTCCTGTAGAATTGTATTGGATACTTTGATTGGAGACTAATCAGTGACTAGTGTAGTGTGTCTAGTCCTATGTTTGGTGCAAACTGAATTCTATCAGTCAAGTTTGCAATGTGGGTTCAAATCTCAGAAGGTACATGACTTCCTTCAACGTTGCAGATACGCCTTGCCGAGTTGTGAGTGCCAACTAGCACGAAACCTAGGTCAGACGGGGCTTCCTGTGGCCGATTGCCTCCAATCATCTATTATCAACAATGCAAAGTACACCCTGATGGCGAGCCACATTGCAAACTTGACTGATAGAATTCAGTCTGCACCAAACAAAGGACTAGACACATTACACTAGTTACTGACTGTGTCCAATCAAAGTATTTCAATATAACTATGAGGAGAAAACAGTGTCCATTTTGTTATTCATTTATGAGTACTAATCGAATTGAACAACTCCTTGAATTTTCTAGGATACTAGATAACGAGCATTTGAAACTACTGGTTACCCAGACCAAAGTAGGGATTCCCATTGCACAAGAGTCAAGAATTTTCAGTTTTTTTCTAAATAGATTACGAGTGTTTCATTTCTGAATCGTAAAACTTGAACCAGCAGGCTTTGCCTTACCTGATTAAAGAGTTAATCGCAGATTCATGTTTTAGAATTTGAGCTGAGCTAGGCGTTATATATGGTGGATGGGAATGATTACTTACTTTCTCCTATCATTATTGATAGGAGGAACATTTTTGAGTACTTATAATTATAATCATTTTGTTGCAATTAATCTTTTGTTTAAGTGTTGGTTTGTAGGGATTTGAGTGATTGGTTACAGGATTTAATCATGAGCTGACATTGGTTAGAGAACCATTGTAAAACCTGGGAATTGGCATAAGTTAGAATTCATGGGCCATTGGATCGGGTCCCAGTGGCTTAATGGTTTACGAGCTTGCCTTGTAACTGGAACATCCTGCGTTTAAATTCTGGCAGTGGGTGCGTACTTCAGAAGAGTCCCAAACTAGGACGAAACAGCTGTCCAGTACTCCCAGGTTTTCCAATGGTTCTCTAACCAATGTCAGCTCATGATGAAATCCTGTAACTAATCTTTTGTTTCTTTGACGTGGTTATCTTGATTTAAAATCGGTATCAATCACAATCTCTTGACTAAGTTTCATTACTCTTTCTTTATTTCAGTTACATAAATCGTTTACGGAAAAATACTTCTGGTGGACTAGGTGATTGGCATAATCAACTGTCGGCATCAATAGATACTGCACCTCCAATCCAATCAAATACTGCTAGTCAGTTAGTTGGCAATTTCTTCGCTGATCCTAAGAAAGTAGAAGGTTGTTCAGTGGTTGATGCATTGTGGAATTTAAGGGATCATCTATTAGAAGATGCTTTGAAAATTCGTCTACGATGTCTGAGTGCTACAGAATGTTAGGTGGTAGCAGTTTCTTGTTTATAATATTTAATTGCATTTTCTCTTAATTGTCCGGTTTCATCTTTACGTATTCATCATATATGTAGGTTCTGTGTTGTTGTACCTGACAGTTGATTATATGTGAAGTCTGGCTTTATTTCCTTTCTCATTGTTTAATGTATTTTCACATCTTCATATGTTTTCAGTCATCTTTTATAGTAATTTTTGGAGTTTTTTTTCGATAAATAAAATGTTCCTCAGCAGATCATAAGTGTGTTTTAATGTTTTCTACTTGGAAAAGCAAAACACTTATTTTCTTTGTTTATGTTGACGTTGTTATCAACTGTGTGATTTGAATTATACCGTTTGTGATTAATATTATAATTATTATAACTGCCTTAGGTGGTCCCAGTAGGACGTAGGGCTTTAACAACACATCTCCATTTTATCCTTTTTTCTTCGTTTCCAATCCCCCTTACTCTATCTCAATATCACCGTCGGAAACCCAACTCATTGTTTCTCATTCGGGTTCCATTCGAATGGCGTGCAATGTCACTCTACGGTCTCCTCAGATTGTATTCAACCACTCCCCATTTTCTGACTGACTGCTTTCAACGTAGAACTTTGCAAACATGTGCAGCAGTTCGAGTTGCCACGCTCCGTGTAGCATACACATCAAGAGAAGCGAGTAAACAGAGATTCAAAAGAGAGATAATAAACAGAAATGTGAGTGGAAAAGAGTAGTAATATGGAAGAACAGTAGAATCTTATTGGATATTATAAATCACAAAGAGTGAATGCATCTGCGCCAGCCATCACCAAGAATGATTTCGAGCCATATCATCGATTGTCTCCAGCCATTGGTTCTTACCATCCCGAGGACACCATTCAGGAAGTCTACACCTTCCTACGTGACTTAAACTAACTGTTGTGGATTTCATTGACTGATGAAGCCATGTTTTGGTTCGACCACCAGTGGCTAACTCTTTTCCAACCTGACCCTATGTCAATTAATATTACCTGTCGTCGAGGAAGGTTATGTTTAGGGATGCATGCATAACACATATCCAAACCATCTCCTCAATCAATGTGACTTCACAACCACGTCAATTGATTTCCCCTCCTTATCTAACACTCGACCGAAGCCTAAACTCAATATTGCTCACCCTTTTATACCACTTCACACACAAAGGAGATAGAACGCAGACACCCATGATCAAAGGCAACTAGCCGGCCTATTCATGTCTTCCACTCTCAATAGTCATATCTCACTCACAGTCATAAAGGAGGACGGAGTGAACTACTGATTTCACGTCTATTAAGCCAGAGATGGCGTAAGTTGGCTAGCAAGTGCCAAACGACCCGCATGCATCCTTGCTGAGATTTCGTCAGTGATCAACCCCTTGGCACTGGCTGATGCAATTTTCCAAATAAGTGAAGTGGTCAACACGCTCAGCCACCACTTCACTCCTGCCTACCTTTTAGTTACGAGTCAATGTAGTGCAGTTCTGTAGCATCAGATAACATTCGATGCGAGGAAATCTCATGCTAAACATTCGCTGATTGCAGCTCAAGGTGTTCAGAAGACTGCTGAATTTTATCAGCGTCTTCACCTAGGAAGACTATTATATCATCTATATACTCTAAGTCAACAAGATTAATATCTGACGATAACACGTCAATTCGTGAGTCGCTGAAGTCAGTTAGGGTAAAACCCATTAGTGTGTACATCAATGATGAAATTGAATAGAAATGGGGACATTTGTGGCCATCCGTGGCGGACACCTGTGGTTGTCACCACTTTATATGACAACTCTCCGTAGGCTCTCATCTGGCTGACTGATTGCATGAGTTTAGTAGAGTGCCTTGATCGGTGCAATGTATTCTATCGGTTTTCCTTTTATCACCACCTTCTCCATTTTCTATGGCGCATTGTTGCGTAATAAGTTCTTTATTGCTCTATTCCCAGAATTGCTTATCGCCAATCTCTTCCGGCCATCTGATCTTCAATATGGAGCCAGCGTAAACAGGTGTTAATGAAAGTCTTCAGTAACCTGTAGGAATTGCTGATAGTGACACACACGCGAAGTCTCTGAACTATGTAAAAACTGTTTGTTAATATCGAACACAAATTGTTATCTCTGTTAGTAATACTGGCATTTGGGTTGATACTTACTATTGCTTCAACAGACGACATTATGCGACTGACTACATTAATGCTATTCCTCAACTTTTGGAAGATGCAGAAGACTGGTTGAGAAGGTAAAGATTTATTGTCGCATGAAGAAGGCAGTGTGACCAGAACTTACAAATAACTATATAGGTATTTCGTATGACCACTATCTCACTAGTTTAAGGTATAGAAAATTATGTTTTGTCTGGTTAGGGAGGATGCACCAATTATGGTCCAACGACGCGACTCTTAACCTACTTTAGGGTCAGATGTCCAGTCTATTGATCACGTGAGAAATACTGAGTTATAATGTATCTTTTCCTGTCCTAACATACAATGTGTGGGGAGTCCAGCCCAGTTCAGTGGGCAGTATTTAACTGAAAATTGTCATTACGGATAATAAATCAATTAGTTGTAAAAGAAATTCAGAAACATATAGTAGGTGCTTGTCTCAACATGTTTGGTTCTGTAAACATCTAATCGGTATTACATGTTTATGGGACTAAAGGTGTATTTGGTTAACTCATAAAAGATAATTTTAATTTGAGGGAATCAAAGAAGCGTCTGAAGCTTAGCTGCTGAAATTAACAATGCGACTATTCTCTTCAGTTTTTTCAAGTCACATATCTGTCAGTGGAAAAAATCGCCAAATGAAATGAACTGCAAGTTCAAGTTCACTCCCAACCATCTTATGACAACAATCCTGAGTGTACCGTGATGGCGAGCCACCTAGTGGCATGGTGGCCGCATTGCAAACTTGACAGATAGAATTCAGTCTGCAGTAAACAAAAGCCTACACACTAGTTAGTGTCCAATCATAAGTTCTCTCCAGTGTTCGGGAAGACATGGCTTGCTGAGTAATACTACTTAGCCTACTATCGCCAATGATTTTCCTGATTTTGGTGTGGTTGTGTTCTCTGAGCTGGATGGTTTGGTTGCGAAGCTTTCATTGCTCTACTGAGCAACATCTTCAGCGCATACTTCGATGTGAAGTGAGCTTTTAGAATTCTCTATGAGTTTATTAGTCATCTCTTCTAGTAACCTTGAACGTGATTGGTTGTTTTCGTGTGACATTTCATCCCTAGTTTGCTTGTCTTGGTGCTGGCTGCTTCTTTGGTCTGAATGTCGTTAGTCATTCCTTCTGCTAACCTTGAACATGATTGGTTGTTTTTGTGTGACTTCTCACTTTCTAGTTCACTTGTTTTGGTGTTGACTGTTTCCTTGACCTGAAGTTTGACTTTGTTTTTGTGTGAATTTCTTCGTATGGATTGGTATATTTTGTCAATCTCTATGTGCCTATTGATTGCTGATTCATTTGAATACCAGGCCTCTAGGAATTCTCTGGCATTTTTGCAGTTCCCTTTGTCTAAGATTTGAACATTGTCCCAGTCGAATTGGTGCCCGTGGTTGTCTGCATGTAGTGATATGAGGGAGTGTATGTCGTGTCTTTTGACAGCTAGTTTGTGTTCGTGAATGCGAAGACGAAGAGGGCGTCCACTTTGACCAATGTAATGTTTGTCGCAGTCGTTGCAATTTATCTTGTAGATGACGTTAGTTTTGTCTTCTTTTGCCGTTGAGTCCTTTGGCTTACATAGAACTGAGTGTAGTGACTTTGTTGGTTTATGAGCGACATCGATTCCAAAAGGTTTGAATAGTCTTGCAGTGATTTCGGAGATATCTTTTATATATGGTAGGACGACTTTCTTTGTGTTTTCGCTGGTGGCCTTTGATTTGGTTGGTTGAGCTGGGGGTAGATGTCTTTTGATCCAAAACAAGTGAACTAGAAAGTGAGAAGTCACACAAAAACAACCAATCATGTTCAAGGTTAGCAGAAGGAATGACTAACGACATTCAGACCAAAGAAGCAGCCAGCACCAAGACAAGCAAACTAGGAGATGAAATGTCACACGAAAACAACCAATCACGTTCAAGGTTACTAGAAGAGATGACTAATAAACTCATAGAGAATTCTAAAAGCTCACTTCACATCGAAGTATGCGCTGAAGATGTTGCTCAGTAGAGCAATGAAAGCTTCGCAACCAAACCATCCAGCTCAGAGAACACAACCACACCAAAATCATCCACCTGAGCTACAAATCTTCTCTATTATATTTTCCTGATTGCAGTAGATCGGATAATGCGACAAACAGTGGGCAATGAGGAAACAGGCATAAAATGGACCCACAAAAACAACTTGGAGGATCTGTACTTCGCCGATGATATATGTCTGATTTCCCACAAACTGGAAGATATGCAAGCGAAAAGCAACAAGTTAGCAGAAGAAGCATCAAAGATAGGACTTCAGGTGAACATAGATAAAACAGAGGTGATGAAGATTCCTGGGCAACACCACCAACAGCAACAACAACAGACAACAATCAGTCAGCATAAATGGAAGAAATCTGAAAGAAACAACCTCTTTTACCTACCTGGGAAGCATCGTTTCAACTACAGGCCAGCGGAACTGACGAGGATATCAAAGCAAGAATCGGAAAAGCAAGACAAGCTTTCACTACCCTCAAGTCTGTGTGGAGGTCAACAGCACTCAGCATCAAAAATAAGATCCGGATTTTCAACTCCAATGTGAAGTCAGTCAGTGCTACTATACGGATCAGAGACTTCCACTGCGCGTCATAAAGAGTATCTCAAACAAACTACAGACCTTCATTAACAGTTGTCTTCGCTCAATACTCCACTCAAGATCAGATGGCGCCAGAAAAGATCAGCAACAGGTATGTTTGGGAGCGAACCAACCAGGAACCGATTGTGAAACAAATAGGCAGGAAGAAATGAAGATGGATTGGCTGGTCGTACTCTGAGGATACCATCAAGTGACATCACTAGACAA